GAAATGCCCGCAAATCCCTTGTTTGCCAAAAATTACCAGATACTGTAAAAAGTAATATCTAGTCCCTCCTCTCAGGGAGTTCAGGGTCAACACATGAGTTAGATAAACATTTACCTCTAAAAACGACCAATCCAGAAATTTTAAAAAACAAAAAATGTTTTGTTCTGTCTTACTCCAAAGTTATTGTTTTTATCTGAATTAGTTGCAACGTTTACAAAGTTTGAGTTCACACAAACACACACACACACATACCCAGCTACTCTTCTCGAGAGAGACCGGATGATCTGGCCACCCTAGGGCCACATTCCTGCCACGGGCAGCAACAGGAGAGATGCAGTAGCTCCTTTCAGATGGAAGATGTTCTCTCTACTTCTCCAGAACCCTCAGCAGTATCATGGTTTCCCAGAATTAATTAACAAAAAAAAAATTTTATTTGGGGGAAAAAAAAAGATTTTTTTCAAAGAAAAAATACTTCAGTGTATATCTGTGTATGAGATATACCATTAGCTAGTCTAAAGAATCAAAGGGGAGAAAAGGAAAAAAATGTAAGCACACAAAATTAGGGAACAGGACAGGGATAACAGTCTCAGATACAGAGGAAAAAGCTGGACAAAACAGATGATTTTCTATGAATGTATAAATCACCAACACTAAACCCAGAAAGAGATAGCAAATCTAAAAAAAAGCACCTGGCTTAGGTAGTTTTACAGAGGAATTCCACCAAATTTAAAGAAACAGATCATTTCAAGAGTATTTAAACAGGCTAAAGCAGAGAAAGCTTTTAATAAAGCTAAGGAAAGCATTAAAACAACTTGATAAAGATTACATTAAAAATACAAAATTACAGGGGCGCCTGGGTGGCTCAGTCACTTAAGCGGCTGCCTTCAGCTCAGGTCATGATCCTCGGGTCCTGGGATCGAGCCCCACATCCAGCTCCCTGCTCAGTGGAGAGCCTCCTTCTCCCTCTCCCTCTGCCTGCCACTCTGCCTACTTGTGCTATCTCTTGTCAAATAAATAAATAAAATCTTTAAAAAAAACCAAAATTACAAACTAGTTTCACAAATAACAATGTAAAATGACTAAGTAAAATATTAATAGAATCTGGCTACACATTAACAGAGTTTTCACTGATGATTCAATAATAAGATGATGATTCAATAACATAAAATCTGTTATTATAATTCATATTTTTTTAAATATTTTATTTCTTTATTTGACATAGAGAGACACAGTGAGAGAGGGAACACAAGCAGGAGGAGTGGGAGAGGGAGAAGCAGGCTTCCCGCGGAGCAGGGAGCCGGATGTGGGGCTCAATCCCAGGACCCCGGGATCATGACCTGAGCCAAAGGCAGATGCTTAACGACTGAGCCACCCAGGCGCTCCTGTTACTATAATTCATGCTAACAGGTCAAGGAAGAACATCTATATGATAATTTCACAGATGCTAAAATGGCATTTCATAAGATTCAACAACCATTTTTGATTAAAAAAACAAATAGTAACAACGCACCCCTTAGTAAAATAACCAGTGTGGCAAAAACACTAAAAGCATTCTCAGTAAAGTAAGGAACAAAATAAGGTACCCACTATCATTCCTAGTATTTAATCTTGTTCTGAAAATACAATGCAACTAAAAAAGAGAAACAAAAGACAAAAAGTAGAAAACATGGAATGATACTTATTATTTGTAACTGATATGATATACCTGAAAATCCTAGAGAACCAACTGCAAAAACTACTAAAAACAATATGACTACATAAGTTGCTGCTTACAAAATTAATAAGTACAGGGGCGCCTGGGTGGCTCAGTCAGCTAAGTGTCTGCCTTCAGCTCAGGTCATGATTCCAGGGTCCTGGGATGGAGCCTAAGGTTGGGCTCCTTGCTCAGCGGGGAGCCTGCTTCTCCCTCTGCCTGCTGCTCTCCCTGCTTGTGCTCTCTCTCTCTAATAAAGAAATAAAATCTTAAAAAAAAAATAAGTACAATGATAAAAATTTGTAATATAAGAAGGGGGTCCTACGGAACAACAAAAAAGATCAAATAACTAGGAATAAACTTAAGAAATGTACAAGATTTTTAAACAAACCACATTTTAAAAGACATTTCTGAGACAACTGGAGAAATGTGTATGTAGATTGGATATTAAATTAGTAATAGGCTGGGCGCCTGGGTGGCTCAGTTGGTTAAGCGACTGCCTTCGGCTCAGGTCATGATCCTGGAGTCCCTGGACCGAGTCCCGCATCGGGCTCCCTGCTTGGCAGGGAGTCTGCTTCGTCCTCTGACCCTATCCCCTCTCATGTGTTCTCTCTCTCTCAAATAAATAAATAAAATCTTTAAAAAAAAAAAAATTAGTAATAGGCAATAAACTCAAATTTGATAAATATAAAAAAATTCTGACAGAGCAAATGAGGTTATATATATTTCAAAAGTCCCTATTTGTTCTAGTTCCCAAGTTATACTCTGAAGTAGTTATGAATAAAATCATTTGTTTTAAAATATTCTAGTCCCACCCCCTACGAAGAAACAGAGGGAGGAGGGACAAGTGGTTCAAGATTGGCAACACATGGCAAACTGTTTAAGATGTGATGGATACATCAAGGTTCATTATATTGTCTTCCCTATTTTTCTCTATATGAAAATGTGCACAATAGAACCCAACAAAGGCAGGTAATGAGAGACCCAAAGGTACACAATAGGCTTATAAAAACACACAAAAATTGCCACCTAACAATTAGAAATGCAAATTAAAGCTACAAATCAGATGTCATTTTCATCAGTCAAATAGAAAAAAAGATCAAAATACTTGGTAACATTCAGTATTGGCGGGAAGGGTGGCAACTGACTCTGCTGGGGAAAGTACCTGTCAGTACACCGGAGGGCACTTTGGCCTCACCTTTCAAAATTATAAACACACACTCCTTGGCCCAGGAATTTACGCTACATATACTAGTTCAGTAAGTATTTTCCACCACCTACTATGGCCATGCACTGGAGACCAGAAAAGTGGAGGAAACAACGCCCCTGCTCTCGTGGGGCTTCCATTCTTATAGGGGAGGAGATAACCAATAAAGCAAGTTAAGTACACAGACAATTGCAAGGTCAAAAGAGATAAGTGTGATGAAAAAAGCAAACAGAATAAGGGCGTTGGGAGTGGCAAGAAGTCTATTTTGGATGGGCTGGCCTGGGAGGGCCTCTCTGAGGACCTGACAGTTGGGCAGAGACCTAGGTGAAGAAGAAAACAAAGCAGAAGAATGTCCAGGAGAACATTCCAAGAAATAGAGAAGGAAGCCACAGGGTAACACACAAATTTGGCTTTCCTGCCCTCTCCTCTTCTTTTTATTCCCTAACAGCCTTTTATTCCTCCAAAGGATATGAGCACCTCTTGAATGTCTTTGTCCCGATACAAAAATGAAAATAAGCATATCCTTTTAATACAGTACATCTTCGAGGAAGGTGCCAGGCCAGCACTGTTTCCCCAAACACTATTGTGCCTAACAATTTCATTTCTTCAAAGGAAGAATTCCCAAACTTATCTAGGTGTAATGCCAAACCTGTTAACAAAAGTACATTAAAGCTATTCATGAGTTTGTAATGAAGATAAACCTTTCCACAAAAAAAGAGAACAAATTAGTTTCACAAAAGATATTGACTAGGTAACTTTATACCAAAAAAAAAAAAAAATACTGTCAGTCCCTGCCCTTCTGGCAAGAATGTGAACCACTGACTTAGAGGAGACTATGGTTTAAATTCATAACCTTTTAAGCAATGAAGTTGAAATGTTGACGTGTCTACTTGGATAAATATTTCTCTTTATCCAAATATTTATATTTTTATTTATCCAAATATTCATATTTTCAATTTCATGATCTTTTAGGCAATGAAACTGATATTTTTAGAGACTATTTTGATAAATACTTGACACTGAAGTGGCCAGTGTCAATTAAGGGCATTCCAGTTGACCCCAAAAGAAATGACTGCAACAGCACCTGAGAATATTACGTACTAACTTGTTCAAAATCGTGAAACATCCAGACTTCAAAATTGCCATGAATGATACGTTCTATGAAGAGCCAGCTTAATTAAGAAGCTAGCATACGGGGAGAGATTTGCCCCTGTGAAATACACTAACTTAATTCTGAAATCAGCTTTACCTGGATGCATTCATCTCCTACTCAGAGGGAGAACGCAAAAAACTAAAAGACTTCCAGCCTCTACGGAGATTCCTAAGGAGACAACTCGTGTAATCAAATTTCAAGCACCACTAGCCATCTGCACAATCAACGACAGGTTTCCCTCCAACAGCTGACGCTGCGGTGTATCCCTGGCCACAGCACACCATTTAACCTTCCCCCAAAAGTCCAGCAGTTCTGAGCAAAGAATGCCACTTCTGACAACTAGTTACCCGAGAAAAATTATCAAAGTGAGAAATCGGAAAAAAGGTAAGCTTCCGCACACGCCAGTCCAGCAAGAGGGGCGCTCAGTATGGAGTTCTATGCAGATCTGAGGCGAAGAATCCCAACGCTCTCTGGCTCGGAAGCATGCGCTTCCGCGTCCCACCTCTTACATGCGGGGCGTCCAGGAGCCTCACAAGGGACGCCCCCCACGCCCTCCACTCTCCCACGCGGGGTCGTGATTGCCAGCCGCTCCCAACTGCTGGGAGAAACGCTGGGCCAGCCCGTCGCGGACGAGGTCCCACTGGCTCACCTGGGAAGGGTAAGGGCACGGGGCTGGGCTCCGCGGAGGGCCAGAAAAGGACACCAGGGGAGGGAAGGGGACAGTCGGGGGCGACCCCGCAGGCAGATATCTGGGGAAAGGATGTCCGCGGGCCGCATCTGCGGGCCAGGCGAGGTTTGAAAAGGATGGAGGAGAATTGGAAGAGGACACCAAAGGATGGAGGGTAGACGTGGGGCGCTCCTGCAGGCAAGAAACTTATGGAGGGGCGGGGGGCTTAAGGGCTGCGTGCGGGCCAGGTAGGGGGCCCCGCTCCTGCGCCGTGCCTCACCTGCCCAGCGCCCGCTTCATGCCCGCGTCCGCGGCGCAGCGCGGCTCTGCCGGCCCCTTGCCCGCCAGGCGCAGGTTCTGCTTCAGGCGGCAGTCGGCGTCCAGCGCCGCGGCGACCGAGCCGGAGGAGGACGACCCCGAAGCGGCGCAGCGCTCATGCTCCAAGGCGACGGGCTCGGTCCGCTTCCTCATCCCGCGGCCGACACGGCCAGCCGCCGACGGCGTCCGCTGACCTCGCCCGCCCGCCCGCGCTGCAGTCGCCGCTACTCACAGGAGCCGCTGCCGCCGGGAGCCCGCAGCCACTCGCATCCCAGCCCCAGGCCTCGGCGCCCGGCTCTACGGACCGGCGCCGGGGACCAGGTCGGCAGCGCCAGCCAATCAGCGCCGTGCTCCCACCGGCCCCGCCCCCTCCTTGGTTCCGCCGGGAGCGCGCCCGGCGTCCCCGGCGCCGACTTTCAGCCATTTTGGAGAAGGGCAGGTGAAGCCTTGCAGGGCGTTACGGTCCGGTTCGGGCCAAGCGACCGGTGGTGCTGGCGAAGGGTCTGGGCTCTGTCGCCGCAGGTGGGAGGGCCGCCTTTGCCTGGGTGCTCGGCGCCATGAGCAAACGCATCCCGTCCTGCCCCAGATCAATGGCCCGAATGTGGGAGGACGCCGGCCAGAAAGCACCCAACGAGCCAGAGCCGCAGAGGAAGGCTGGCTCCTTCCTCTCCCGCCTCAGACCGTGTGATTTTTCCCTAATGCTGAAAACCCAATGTGAATGAACCCCTCGGAAACGTTTCTGTAATGGTTTATGAGAACAAAAAGCAAAAGGTAACATCACCGTTCTCATGATTTATAACTATTTTCCCACAAGATTTTACTTTAAAAAAATATGCTCTCAGGTGCTTTTTTTTTTTTTAACACAAGCATATAGATAATTTAATTTTTAAGTTTTGGGCTGAACATATGAAAACTGAACTCATTAAACAGTTTACTTTTTAAAACCTGTATTTGATTTTAGATTTTTGTAAAGCAATTAGTAGCAGCTGGTGGAGGTACGCCTGGCTGGCTCAGTGGGTGGTGCATGAGACTCTTGATCTGGGGTTATAGGTTCCAGCCCTAGGTTAGGTGTAGAGATTACTTAAGGATCTTAAAAAAAAAAAAAAAGTGGGGAAAAAAATCTGTTTCAAAGATAAATTTACACTTGTGAACCCGAGTTAAGAACTAATTCAACTTGTCTTACAAAGAAAAGAGTAGTTTCACAAATTTAGTTTTACAGCTTGGCATTCTTTCTTACAAAGGATCTACAACCAAGAGATTTGCTTACTTATCACAAAGTGAACTTTCGTTCAACATACAAAATTTCAACATTTCTGTCAGTTGAAAACTATTGGCAACTGATAATTTAAGATCAGTTAGAAATGCCTTTAGAAATTCACTAGCTCCTTTTTTTTTTTTTTTTAAAGATTTTATTTATTTGACAGAGAGAGCCACAGCAAGAGAGGGAACACAAGCAGGGGGAGCGGGAGAGGAAGAAGCAGGCTT